TGGGGCGACGCGGAATGAAAAAGTTTTTTAGGAGTCGCGGCAGTAGAGGCGGCGCAACTGTAACGACATGTGAATAATCCCGCCCACTCTAAAGCTGTACTGAACTGCAGTGGAAACGCAAACCGAGCCGTGCCGTGCCGTACTGAGCCGTACCGAGCCGAGTCGTACCACGCAGTGGAAAAGCGCCAATATGTGATTTCAGATGGAGTCCTAGTGTAGACTACTGTTTAAAGATCTGGGCCCGTATTCACAAAATCTTTTATCTTACCACTAAGAGTTCTCCTAAATAGGAGTACAAGTTTTTAGCAAAGAGTTTTCTCTTAAAACCTATTCACAAAGCTGCTGAGACAAACTTTTACTAAGGAATAGAGAGAAGTCTTAAGCTAAGAGTAAGGGGGCGGGGTTGACCTTGTTGCTATGGATGAAGGTGATACCTTTATAAAAGCTCATTATCGTCAAATATTTCTAAAATGTTTATGTTCCGAGGCTGATTGCCGCAACAGCCATTTTAGGATAGTTTGTGGTTCGGTCTTAGTGACTTAGGAGTCCTCTTCACTACTCCTAACATTTCACTGATTTAGGAGCTAATTTTAGCGCTAAAATGCTTTGTGAAATACTTTTAGATCAAAAATTTAGGAGTCCTAAATTTAGGACTGGCTATTTTTAAGATTTTCTCCTAAATCGGCGAGTTACGAGCTACTTTTAGTCTCAAGATGTTTTGTGAATACGGGGCCCTGGGCTCTTAACCAAAAAGCTGTAGGTTCAAATCCTAAAAACTTTTGTCCAACCACTTATGAGTGACCCATGATTTATTTACTGTGTCTCATTTTCATCTCTGTCCTAGCTTGTACTTTTCTTAACAATGTTGTAACATTGCATAATGACACTTTCCTTGTTATTCTCTCCTTAGGATGAGCCACTTATGGCGTAGCTTAGGCCATTTCGATAGAAGTACGAATGTAAATGTGTGCCCTTGAGCTAGATACTAAATGACTAAATAATGCTAATAATGTTGTAGACAAAAACATCTCCAGGTTTTGTAATATAGTCCACCAAACAGAAGTGCACTCACTGGCTGTTTAGGTTTGGCTGATTAAGCCATTTGTTTGTTTGGTCATCAGGAAAGAGATCCCCTACACAATCCATGTACACCGCAGCATCACAGGCACAAATCGAGACTAAGAACCCCCGAGTGAACCTGCTGGTCAGTAAGTGGCAGCAGGTGTGGCTGCTGGCGCTGGACAGGAGGAGGAAGCTCAACGATGCTCTGGACAGACTAGAGGAGGTCAGTCATACATACACACCTGACCTCACACCTGTCTCAGACTCCTGTCAGGTGCCTTCACACCCATTTGCTTCTTATCTGCCCTCAGCTGAAAGAGTTTGCCAACTTTGACTTTGATGTATGGAGGAAACGCTACATGCGCTGGATGAACCACAAGAAATCGCGCGTCATGGATTTCTTCCGTCGTATTGATAAAGACCAGGATGGCAAAGTCACAAGGCAGGAATTCATCGATGGCATCCTATCCTCAAGTAAGAAAAGATTTCAAACCGTGTGTTGTTTAGGTCTAAAGTCTTTCAGGCTGTACCCTCAACGCCTCTCTGGTCCTGTAGAGTTCCCCACCAGTCGTCTGGAGATGAGCGCTGTGGCAGACATCTTTGATCGTGATGGCGACGGCTACATCGACTACTATGAGTTTGTGGCTGCTTTACATCCCAACAAAGATGCTTACAAACCATTAACCGATGCTGACAAAATTGAAGATGAGGTAAATGTTATCAGCTTACTTTCTGGAAAGTTTTACGCAATAACTGGAAGTATTACGGATGGTGATTCATGTAGTCGTTTTTATGATTTATGACTTCATGTGTTTAGGTGACTCGCCAAGTTGCAAAGTGCAAGTGTCCGAAACGGTTCCAAGTAGAGCAGATTGGCGCCAACAAATATCGGGTAAGTGACAGATTTTTCATGCTTTCTGGATGAGTCAAGAAAAAGATTCATTATGGAACCCAAGGCCAATACAAGTGCAGAAGCCTGGTCATTGGTTCAGTGTTTTTTTTCCAAGTTGCAAAGTGCAAGTGTCCGAAACGGTTCCAAGTAGAGCAGATTGGCGCCAACAAATATCGGGTAAGTGACAGATTTTTCATGCTTTCTGGATGAGTCAAGAAAAAGATTCAGTACGGAACCCAAGGCCAATACAAGTGCAGAAGCCTGGTCATTGGTTCAGTGTTTTTTTTTTCAAGTTTTTCAAAATAAAAATTCAAAAATAAAATTCACAAGTCCCCCAAAACAATCCCAGTATTATTGGTTGTGAAGTTGATGAATGAAATATATTAATTGTTTGTCATTTTACAACAAAAGTATCTAATTTTGTCAAATTTGTCAAAACAAGCATTCACCTCAGTGCTAGAAAAAATCCTGCTTTTATTACAAAATACGTTGTTTATGTGGCAATAACATAATTGTATGTAACCAATCTAGCAAAGTTCATTTGGACATTGGCTGCATCCAAATGAAAAGGCCCTGATTCCTTGTATCAAAGCCGATATAAGGAATGTTTTGAGGACAGGATGGAAACATGAAGTCTGGAAAGTTGGCAGAGTTCCACACACCCCTGTTAAACTGCTCCCCTACCCAAACCTCTCTGCCCCGACACTGCTGTTGCCAAAGAGAATGACTTCATTACATTTTTACGTGCCATTGCATTTTTCATTCTCTCAAGTTTGAGAGTTTCCCCCCCGGTCCCCTTCTCACCAACACTCCTAATAAACAGATCCCGTAACATTTGGTCACAGACAGCCATTCTGTTACTGCCCGTAATCTGAGGGAATAGTACTGACTGGCTGGAGGCCTGTAACTGTGCCACTGGATGACAAGAACTAGAACTAGAACATCTTTTGTGATTTTTTTTTGTTTTGTTTTCAAAAAATGTATTGAAATTTTATTGAAAATTTATTGAAATTACAGAATTTATTGTAAAAAACAAAAAGAGTGAACTGATATTTATTAATGTTTGTCTTTTCGCTTTTCCCCTCCACATCAGTTCTACCTTGGAAATCAGGTATATATGCACAGTGCTTTTTAAAGATTTGCTGTGCTGCCCTTTATGTTTTATCTGATTCACTGTCACTGTGTCTTTGAATTTCCAATATTTAAGGCTGTCTTTAACTCACAAGCGGATAAGCATATTTAAAGAACTTTTTAACTCTCTTCCCAAAGCTAGCCATTTAGTTTGTGGCATGGCTGTGTGCAAGTCTCCACTGGCATTGAAGCACAGTGGCTTGGGAAAGTTATAAATACAGATGAACATTTCTACTTCCTTAATACTAAATGACACACAAAAAAGAGGTGTTTAGTGCTGATATTTCCTTAATATCTCTTATGTTGTGCCCTGAGTAATTTTAAGGCAGATTAATTTAGGTCTGAGTTAAACGAGCACAGATATTTGGGAAATAGTTTCTAGTCGACATGAAATCAACATTGAGCATTACTCAATCAATCAATTAAACTTTTTACAAAGTGTTATAACTTTTCTTAAACAACAGCCAAAGGCATATTAATAACATGTATTAATAATAAACAATTCTACTGTTTGTAGCTATTTATAGTTTACAACATAATGTAGAAACTTGGTGCAAACTTGTTGATGCAGTTTTTCTAAAATCTTGCCAGGAGTTAATACACTAATTTCATGACTGTAAATATATGCAGTGATAGGAATCAATTGGAATGTTTCACATTACGGAAGTAAAAGGGGCTGTGAATGTTTCATGTTGACTTGTTCTACAGAAAAACAGCTTTTTTAGGGCATTTTAGGATGTTTTTATTTTTTAGAAACCATTTTTAGATTCAACTATCTGCTTTTGATTTCAAATGCATTTCTCCCCGCAGCGTTGCATTCTGCTTTTTTATTATAATTTGCGACAGCTTTTGCAGCATAACACAGTATGCTTGCCTTCTGCTACCTGCTTAATTTACTTAAACTTATTTGAGTTCTTTTAACCACAGTTTGTGGCTGATGTTCAAACAAGCCAGAGCTTCAGGAGAAAGTTTGAGCTGAAAGATGCATGATTCTCCCTACATAAAATCATGAGCTACATGCTTTCTCAGGGTGGTGTTTTGGGAAGATACGTGACTCTTAGCTGGTGGAGAGGGCTTTTATCGGGCAGGCCATGCAAACCTCATGTTTTTCTTCCTTTGTATTGAGAACTTTGTATCACATCAACTGAAACCATTCTTTTGACAGTTTGGTCTCGTTCACTGCTTACATGACCCCTTAATCACCGATGAGACTTTAACAAACAGGGACAATCAAAATCTAACCCCCCATCTACACGTTGCCGTTTTGGAAAGCTGTATCCTGGTAAATGGTCAATCTTAAAGCCGTTTGTTGTGATTCTCTTTACTATTTGATCATGCTTCAAAATTCATCTTCTCCTCCCCCCAATCACCAAATTCACCAATGGTATCGATTCACTCTGGGTATCACTTCTAGAATAAAGGGCTTGCAGGCCAGAGAGATGCTCAGCGGGTCACCATCAGTGTGTCGGTCATGTTGATTTTCAGCGAGTCGATCTCAGCCATTCTTCCATATTGTTCCTATTGTGTGTGGTTGGAATCGAGCATCAGTGTCAACACACGCATCCTCTATGAGAATGGTAGTTTGTAGTTCTAGACGGTGCAACTTCTGTATGCATATTTGGTTTGTGGAAAGACTTTCTCATATGGTATGATTTATATTTTCTTTTTGTTTTGTTTTTTGAACAGAAAGCATGAGGCCATAATTTTCTGTGTTGTGAAATCCGTATGCCTTGGCCATATCCAACTGGCAACAATCATTTGGATGCAACTCATTTGGCTTGTTGTTTTCTTTAGCTCCTATCTTTGGCATGGAGGGTGTAGGGGAATGCTGTAGAGTTATGCCCAAGTGTTCCCCTATGCAGGAAAACAGAGCCTCAGCAAGTGTAGAATGAACTTATAGCACACCCTAGTGGACACACTGATCACAGTCCTGTCCACCTTGTCTTAAAAGTGCACTAAGCAGCTTTTTCTATTGTAATAAAGTTTCACGCATAAAGAAATTGATCAAATTGTCAAATGTTTAACATGACGTTTACTCACTTGAGATGAAGACTTGCGTAATATCAGTTTTATTTTTTTAAAAAAATTCTTATATAAAAATACATATCAATACTGTTTGTTTGGTTGTCATGAAGAGTAAAATAATTGCCTGTGCATATATAGGGCACTTTTGGAATCGATTAATCACGGGTGACAAATATGCCAGCAAATTGGATATTTCTGTAATGGTGTTTACATAGTGCTTCATCCAGGCCCACAGGTGGCAGCATAAGTTCTAGAACCACTGTCGAATCAGCCAGTAATACAAACTCTGAAATGACTTTGTGCACCTTTAATGACATACAGTGTACCACACCACCACACATGATCAGTCAATCATTAGCACAAAGCCACAAATGAAACCAGTTGGATTGACCACTCATTTCACGTCTTCTGGAATGAAACCAATGTTGTGTCTCAATCAAAATTCGTTTTGATCAAATGGCTCGGCAGGGCAACAAGAGGAAGCCAGAGATAAACACAACAGAAATAGCATCTAATTGGGATTAATAATGTTGTGATTTGACTTTTTCACCACATGTTTGATGGCTAGTTTTTTACTATTTTGAAAAGGGTGTTACAGGGCTGAGGTTTCTGATGTTGCTCTGCTGCATGCCTGTCACTGACAAACATGACTGTATTTCATAGGAATGACTGTGTTCTCAGTGGTATGTGTGCATCCCAGTGTGTGTGTGTGTGTGTGTGTGTGCTGCGGTGATCCCTGAATGGTATTCTCATTAACATTAATCTCATGCTTCCCTTTCCATCGTGCTGTCTGGGACTGTTTAGCATGCGGTTTCGTGTTGCGTCATGTGTCCTCTCTCGCTTTCTCTGCATGTGCTTATTGTAGCTCTTTTGCAGTGCAGTGCAACTTGCTCGACAGTCTCATCAATGCAGGATATGAATAATTCATCACATTAAACTGAGCTATACACGATAAACCAAATATGCTAAATAGTTTTTCTAAACGGCAGTCTCTGAAGGTTAATCCCGTTTAAGCAGCATCAATGTTTTTCTTTTTCTTTTTATTATTAGATATTTTTGCCAGTGATGTGCAATGCATGCAAGTCATTCCCTACATCAAACCAAAGCGCAAAACTCTGAACCGTGTTTTGCTCATTTGAATGGGTGGCCATCATTCCCCAGCCTGGTTAAAGATACTTTCATAAAAATCAACCTTTCTGGTTGATTCTGGCTTTCTGAAAAAAAGTCCCTGAAACTTGCTTTGAAGGAATGTTTTGGGGTCGAAACAAGTTGAGCTCTGTGAACAGCATATGTGGCTTTCTGTTGATTATAACAACAACAACAACAACAAAGCCTTGCCCCTCAATTTGTTTACAGTAATTAGGGTGGGGTGATTCAATTGATATAGACAACTTTACAGATCAAATAATAAACATTTTTACTCAATCGACTTGGACTTGTTATCAATCGTTGGTACCACAGATGTTGGCCATAGACCTCAAGTTGAACTAAAGCCATAATATTCCTTTGAATTTCAGAGGCTTATTTTCTAAACCCATGTGAAAGGTTTTGCTGTGGTCTTGCCTCCCGGCTCATTGCACTGTATGATCTTCCTCCAGCTAAGGGCAGAACCAACTTGGAGCTGCGCGAGAAGTTTATTCTCCCAGAAGGCACCACCCAGGTGATGGCCAGTTTCCGCTACAGAGGTCGAAGGTCACGGCCGTCCTCAAGAGGCGCCTCCCCTAACAGATCCAATTCTAGTTACAGCTGTCCCGCACAACCCAACCCACCCGGCTCCAACACACCCAAGGTATGGATATTGTTGATTAGGTTGTAGAGAAATATGTAACTTCTCCATGTTTTTGTCACATTTTCCTGTCGCCAATCATGAAGCTTGGTTCCAAAACCTAGTGAGCTTCTTTGCTGTCCGCTGACTACATAGGCAGCTGTTTTGTAAGGCAACAACCTGACTGAAATGAAACCATAGGTACGGGTCAACAACTCGGTACATAATACAAATAGCACATGGGAGACTCGAGTCAAGGTTGTTTTTAAGAGAGTTTGGTCACAGACTGTATATATACCAAGATGGTTCAGATATTAATTTGAATAGGAGAGAGTGCAACCCGCAATATGGAGGAATAAGTCCCGCCTTCTTTATAAAAGAGCCAAATGGCAATTGGTAAAGTCCTCATGTCACTGCAGCTGCTGTTAGGAGCCAGTCAGTGTCCTGAGACACTTACCAACCAGAAATATACACTTTTCAATGCTGCTTGAGCAAAAGAAACAACATTTATGGGGCACTTCATTTCAGATTGTATTGCTGATTTAATATATGGCACTTAAATGTGTTTGACAAGCAGTTTTTGAGATTTCAATATTTTCCCATTTAAGTATCTAAATAAAAATGCCAAAATGTGGGTTATGCACAATAACCACTCAATATGACTTCAAAGTAGATACTAAAGATGAGCATAACCCATAGCCATCGCATATCCAGGTTTTTTTTTTTCTTCTTCTCACTAACATTTGGATAATAAAATCAAAGAATAAAAAGGACTTGAGCATAAAAAGACATAGCACACTTGAAAATTGTGTAAAAAAAATAAATGTTTGTAAGTATTCATTCAGCATTAAATGAATTCTGTTTAACTTTTGAATTTCTCATGTTATTTTTCATATCAAATGGCAAAAAGAAGTTATTTTGGAAGGCAGCATAAACCTCTTATCGTGCTGTCTGGGACTGTTTAGCATGCGGTTTCGTGTTGCGTCATGTGTCCTCTCTCGCTTTCTCTGCATGTGCTTATTGTAGCTCTTTTGCAGTGCAGTGCAACTTGCTCGACAGTCTCATCAATGCAGGATATGAATAATTCATCACATTAAACTGAGCTATACACGATAAACCAAATATGCTAAATAGTTTTTCTAAACGGCAGTCTCTGAAGGTTAATCCCGTTTAAGCAGCATCAATGTTTTTCTTTTTCTTTTTATTATTAGATATTTTTGCCAGTGATGTGCAATGCATGCAAGTCATTCCCTACATCAAACCAAAGCGCAAAACTCTGAACCGTGTTTTGCTCATTTGAATGGGTGGCCATCATTCCCCAGCCTGGTTAAAGATACTTTCATAAAAATCAACCTTTCTGGTTGATTCTGGCTTTCTGAAAAAAAGTCCCTGAAACTTGCTTTGAAGGAATGTTTTGGGGTCGAAACAAGTTGAGCTCTGTGAACAGCATATGTGGCTTTCTGTTGATTATAACAACAACAACAACAACAAAGCCTTACCCCTCAATTTGTTTACAGTAATTAGGGTGGGGTGATTCAATTGATATAGACAACTTTACAGATCAAATAATAAACATTTTTACTCAATCGACTTGGACTTGTTATCAATCGTTGGTACCACAGATGTTGGCCATAGACCTCAAGTTGAACTAAAGCCATAATATTCCTTTGAATTTCAGAGGCTTATTTTCTAAACCCATGTGAAAGGTTTTGCTGTGGTCTTGCCTCCCGGCTCATTGCACTGTATGATCTTCCTCCAGCTAAGGGCAGAACCAACTTGGAGCTGCGCGAGAAGTTTATTCTCCCAGAAGGCACCACCCAGGTGATGGCCAGTTTCCGCTACAGAGGTCGAAGGTCACGGCCGTCCTCAAGAGGCGCCTCCCCTAACAGATCCAATTCTAGTTACAGCTGTCCCGCACAACCCAACCCACCCGGCTCCAACACACCCAAGGTATGGATATTGTTGATTAGGTTGTAGAGAAATATGTAACTTCTCCATGTTTTTGTCACATTTTCCTGTCGCCAATCATGAAGCTTGGTTCCAAAACCTAGTGAGCTTCTTTGCTGTCCGCTGACTACATAGGCAGCTGTTTTGTAAGGCAACAACCTGACTGAAATGAAACCATAGGTACGGGTCAACAACTCGGTACATAATACAAATAGCACATGGGAGACTCGAGTCAAGGTTGTTTTTAAGAGAGTTTGGTCACAGACTGTATATATACCAAGATGGTTCAGATATTAATTTGAATAGGAGAGAGTGCAACCCGCAATATGGAGGAATAAGTCCCGCCTTCTTTATAAAAGAGCCAAATGGCAATTGGTAAAGTCCTCATGTCACTGCAGCTGCTGTTAGGAGCCAGTCAGTGTCCTGAGACACTTACCAACCAGAAATATACACTTTTCAATGCTGCTTGAGCAAAAGAAACAACATTTATGGGGCACTTCATTTCAGATTGTATTGCTGATTTAATATATGGCACTTAAATGTGTTTGACAAGCAGTTTTTGAGATTTCAATATTTTCCCATTTAAGTATCTAAATAAAAATGCCAAAATGTGGGTTATGCACAATAACCACTCAATATGACTTCAAAGTAGATACTAAAGATGAGCATAACCCATAGCCATCGCATATCCAGGTTTTTTTTTTTCTTCTTCTCACTAACATTTGGATAATAAAATCAAAGAATAAAAAGGACTTGAGCATAAAAAGACATAGCACACTTGAAAATTGTGTAAAAAAAATAATTTTTTATAAGTATTCATTCAGCATTAAATGAATTCTGTTTAACTTTTGAATTTCTCATGTTATTTTTCATATCAAATGGCAAAAAGAAGTTTTTTTGGAAGGCAGCATAAACCTCTTTTGAGGTTAGAGAGGAAGAGTGTATCTATGACATCTTAGAATGCTGTCTTACGTGGGGAGCTCACTAAGATTTGGAACAGAGCCATGCATAGCCCCATCACTGTTATATATAGAGCCATGCATAGCCCCATCACTGATATATATAATTATTTCCTGTATTGTCTTTTTTTTTCTATTGCTACCCTTCGTATGTGGTTTATCCACAATTGTTTCTCACAGACTCCCCAACATTTAACCCGCAATTATGATAAACCCTGGCTGACAAACAGCAAATCAGCTACTCCTCTTAAATCATCTGACTCCTTTGACAGCCAAGGGTCATCCAATGAGGTATAGTGCTTAAGAAACGAGTGACAAATCCCCATCTAATCTCCGTCTCCTGCTCCTGACCTCTTGTCTCTGCCTTGTTACTGATCTAATTGCTTCCTGTGTGGATTTGGGATTGAGTTCAATCTCTTTCTCTGGCTTTGCAGTGATGCATGGAAGTGGTCCGTTATTAAGGCGGATGTGTTTGCTTCAGTCCTCTAATTCATGATCTTTAAACCTCTCTTTCGCAAAGAGGGTGGTGTGATTGTCTTAAATCAAATCAGCTTGATATACAAAGGCCTTTTCTAAACATCACCTTCAAGCACTAACTGCAAAATGAATATTTTTCTGTCCTCTTGCCACTAAAACGTGATGCTTGTGAGATCTTTTCTACATCCTGAACTCTAAAATGATTTCTTCTCTTTCTCCTGATGTGTATGACTGGTTTTGATTCAGCGTAGGCAGTATACTGTAATTTTCTTGTCTGCCGTGCATTTATTCAGTCATTCTGGCCATGAACTGCACACACTGCAACGTTTTGGGATGAACAAACACATTTAGATGTGGGAGTGATATGAAATACAGAAGTCACTCCTAAACCAACCTCTGTCGAGATAATTGTTTCAGTCAGGGTTTCTTTGTGCTTGCTTTCGTCAAATGTGTTTCAGTGCAGTTGCATTGCCAGCATGTTAGAGCAGAAACCCACTGAGTGTATCTGCATCTTCGAAAGCTCCTCTTGGCCAAAGGTTGCTGTTTTTATTTGTGTCAGTGAACAGTCTGTTACATGCCTCCTCATTGTCCTGATCTAATCGTTTCTAAATCATGACATCTTACAGAGCACCCCTATTCAGGGAAGCAAGCTTCGTCTTCCAGGCTATTTGTCAGGAAAAGGCTTTCAGTCGGGAGAGGATGGGACCTTGATAAACGTTGCAGTCATGAAGGCCAGAGGTCAAGCCATGGGTGAGTCCGACACACCTTCTGCTCTTCATCAAGTCTTGCTGCTGCTACTGTGCGATATATTGAACATTCACAAAAAAACAACACTGATTTTATTGGACTCTGGCTTTGCTGCACTTCATGTCTCTTGTTATTATGAGACTATAAAGATCAGTTTCTGTTTTCAGATCTGTCAAGTATTCAACTATGCATCACCCAAAAAAGAACACAGAGCAATATTTTTAAATGTTATGTTAAAGAAATATTTAGTTAAATATTGCTGTCTAATATGAATAATAATATGTGAATATAATAGAGCTGCCCCCACCTAAAGAGATTTCTAGTCGACTAGTAGTCGTCCATTTAAGCCATTAATCGCACATTTAAATTAATTTAATTACTTGCGTTTAAATGCACATATATAGCTTGCCACAAAGCACCCACAAAAGTAATGACTATGAATGTGTTGGGGAACATAGCCAGGAGATATAATTATTTATTAATAAACTAGTGTTTTCCCAGTCAGTGTGTTGGCTGCAAAGATGAAGTTGACGTTGCAGTACAGTGAACGCACAGAAATGCACCTTCCATACGGATTACGGATTTGTTTTCGATTTAAATTGGTTCGTTCAGAAGTACACATTTCAAGCTTTCTATAGATATATTTCTCATGTCTGTGAGGCAAGTAGCCTATAAGCTGAGTTTCGGTTCATTTTTGTGACGCGCTCCAGTGCACAGAGACCGAGACGGCACAAAGCGCATCCTGTTTGTTTTCTCTATTTTACAATAGCACAACGTCTTGTTGATATTGTGAGGGTACGAAAATAAAAGTTGACAGTTTCGAATGATGTATTTCTTGTATCTGTATAAGCAAAAATGACTGCATATTTTAAGTTGTTTTCGCGGTTATCAAGAAAAAAATCGTGCCGTGTCATGCAGAACGCATGCTAATAGCTTCCGCATTCCACACAAACACTTAGCGGCCATGTAAATTTGCTACTTCTTACATGTTTCAGTTTCAAATGATAAGTCATATTTGAGGTCGATGAATGACAGGCGAACGTTTGGATTTCCTGCCCGATATACTGTAATTATCACAAAAACCTGCCGTTAACCATCTGTCCCTCACGAATTATGTGACTTTGATTGGTTTTTTTTCTGTGACTAACCATCTAATAAAATTTTGGTTGAATAAGCCTCTTCTCATCGACTAAAGTTTATTCACCTTTATTCACCTTTATTTATATAGCGCTTTTAACAATACAGATTGTGTCAAAGCAGCTTTACAGCATTAAATAGGAAAATAGTGTGTCAATAATGCAAAATTACAATGGTAAACACTCAATTTTCAGTTAAAGGCAGTTCATCATTGAATTCAGTGATGTCATCATCCAGCTCAGTTCAGATTAAATAGTATCTTTGCAATCAAGTCAACGATATCTCTGGATATTAAGTGTCCCTAACTAAGCAAGTCAGAGGCGACAGCGGCAAGGAACCAAAACTCCGAAGCATGGTGGTGGCAGCATCATGCTGTGGGGGTGTTTTTCAGCTGCAGGGACAGGACGACTGGTTGCAATCGAGGGAAAGATGAATGCGGCCAAGTACAGGGATATCCTGGGCGAAAACCTTCTCCAGAGTGCTCAGGACCTCAGACTGGAACTAAGGTTTACCTTCCAACAAGACAATGACCCTAAGCACACAGCTAAAATAACGAAGGAGTGGCTTCACAACGACTCTGTGACTGTTCTTGAATGGCCCAGCCAGATCCCTGACTTAAACCCAATTGAGCATCTCTGGAGAGACCTAAAAATGGCTGTCCACCAACGTTTACCGTCCAACCTGACAGAACTGGAGAGGATCTGCAAGGAGGAATGGCAGAGGATCGCCAAATCCAGGTGTGAAAAACTTGTTGGATCTTTCCCAAAAAGACTCATGGCTGTATTAGATCAAATGGGTGCTTCTACTAAATACTGAGCATTTTTCAGTTTTTCTTTTTTAATAAATCTGCAAAGATGTCAACAATTCTGTTGCTTGCTGTCAATATGGGGTGCTGTGTGTACATTAATGAGGAAAAAAAATTAACTTAAATGATTTTAGCAAATGGCTGCAATATAACAAAGAGTGAAAAATTTAAGGGGGTCTGAATACTTTCCGTACCCACTGTATATATATATATATATATTATCATATTTATTTAGTGAACAGCAGTGTATAAAACATGATTTTTCTGTATTTTACTTTTGGATTGAATCTACATTTGTCAACAGTGGTTGTTTGGATGATATGATTCTAGTTATTTTAGGAAACAAAATCTAAATGCATATCAAACATCATTAAAAAGCTGAAAAACTACCAATAAATACTTTTTTAAAAATCTTAGTGATGAGCCATTAGGTGGATGTCAGTATCATAGCTCTGAGATGTAACTGGCTGTGAATTCTCTTCTCAGGGTTGAGTAAGATCCCAAGCAGGCCTGGCAGCAAAGCAGGAAGCCGAGGGAGCAGCCGCCGTGGCAGCGATGCCTCAGACTTTGATATTTCAGACATCCAGTCGGTGTGCTCGGACGTGTCGGAGACAGTGACAGACTCAGGACGCCCGACGCCGCGCTCAGCGTCACGCCAACACGGAGGCAAACTCTCCAAAATCCCAACTCCCCAAAGGAGGAGCACTCCTACTAGCAAACTGGCTAAGAATACCAAGAGATAGTCAACAGTCCAGTCCACAGAAGCGGCCAGGATCCGGGCCTCTGTTCTGACAGCACTGGGTTAGCGCACACTAAACCAAGACTGGACAGATGTAGATTCACACTACAGACTGCAAAGTGTTAATGATTTTAAAAAGCGTAGCAAGATGTAAATTATTCTGTTGTGGAAAAGGAAGTTCATGTGGAGTGTATGTGTGTGAGTGTGTGTGTGGAATGCAGTGGCTTTGTGCATTTGTCCTGTACTTTATGTGACTGTTGCGTCATTAATATTTTGTTTATTTCTGGGAAAGGCCAGCGAACACAAGAAGACTATGTTGTTAGGTAAACTAACACTTTTCCACATGTTTGTGTTGAGGGAGAAGCTGAATGTACAGTCATTTCCTCCAGCGGACTTGCTTGTTGGTGATAATATGCCTTTGTATTCTGCCAGGACACCACAATTATTTATTCATCTATTTAAAGTGCAATGACAAGCTGCTGTTATGCATTTAAAGGGCAATACAATACCACTGCTACACTACAACTGTAACCCCTGCTATCATACACTACAGTTAATCCAGATCATGGCCTTTAAACTTGCATATAAAACACCCGTCTGTAGCACCCGCAGTAATGTTCGTTTCGATCAAATCACAGATTGTGTGCCACTTTACTGTGACTAGAACTTTCTGACTAAAAACATTCATAAGTGCAATCATGCCTGTGTACTCTATGGTTCCTTTTTGCCTGATTGATCCAAATTACTCAACTTTTTGTAATAAATATGCTTGCAGAAAGCTCGACAATATATACAACCTTCAAAGTCTCACTTGTTGTTTCCATCTGTCCAACCTATCTGACTAACATTCGAACAAAGACGCATTTTGACTGAGTCGCATTTACGCAAAAATGTCTCAGGCCTGCGATTAGCAAGTCTTAAAGGGATAGTTCACCCAAAATGAAAATTCTGTCATAAATTACTCACTGATGCCACATGGACTATTTTAAAGATGTTCTTACTACCTTTCTGGGCCATGAAACGTTTCAGTTGCATTGCTGTCTATGAAGGGTCAGAAAGCTCTCGGATTTCATCAAAAATATCTTAACTTGTGTTCTGAAGATGAACGAAGGTCTTACGGGTTTGGAACGACATGAGGGTGAGTAATTAATGACAGAATTTTCATTTTTGGGTGAACTATCCCTTTAAGAAGAAAATAAAACATTTTATGAGACTAAAGTGCATTGTCAGCCTCGTAGCCTGTGGCAGTCCCTTTGCCAGTAAATAGGACCAAAAAAAAAAAATCTTGTGTAAAGATGCCAGATGGTCTTTAATGTTGTTTGGATTAATGTTAGTATGTGGGAGTGTAACCAGATGAGGTGATGTGAGGTCAGTGATGCCGTGGAGTTAGTCCTCAACATCCTTCTATAGGATACGGAAACCTAGCCCTGCACGACAGCAGACAGCAGGGAGAAAGAAAAAAAAGGTCATTTTGATTTGGTTTTTGTCGAGATCTACACCAACCACTTACCATTTGATCAGCTAATCCTTGTCAACACATATTCTCTCATATATAAGTGTTTGATTTATCTCCATAAGATCTGCCCAAGTCATTTAGTGTGTTTCCCCCCCATGAATATATTTTAACTCCAGTTTATAAATGTTTAAAGAATGTTTCTTCATTTTTCATTGTTATGAAACACATTTTTTTCTTAAAGCCATTAGCTTTATTTTTAAACATCATTTACTGTAGTGTTACAGTTTCTGTCATATAAAGTTTCCTATATATATATATATATATATAGCCACTTTATTGCTTTTATTAAAAGTCACACTTTATTTTAAGGTCCAGTTCTTACTATTAACTATGACTTTTGCCTCAATAAACTCCTAATTACTGCTAATTAATAGTTAAAAAGGTAGTTGTTAAGTTTAGGTATTGGGTAGGATTAGGAATGTAGAATATGGTCATGCAGAATATGTGCTTTATAAATACATAAACATTACTAGCATATAAACAACCAATATTCTAGTAATATGCATGCTAATAAGCAACTAGTTAATAGTGAGAATTAACTAAAGAACTAAACTAAAGTGTTACCAAAGTCAACAACTGCAATAAGATAAGACACACGTTGACTAAATAGAATTACAATAATGAAGTAGTGTACATCACTGGGGGAAGAACCGATTATTCGAAATGTAGGTGGATAAAATCTCTTCTACTTGATTATATAGAAGTTCCCGATTGTCTAGTTTCGACACAATTTCCGAAAGCTGGAGTGCAAGGTACTGCGTTGCTATAATGAGTGTTTTTGAGGAGGAACTAATCAGTGGATTTGGTAAAGTTGGCCAGGTTAGTGACATCAGTGTGACTGCAAACACCTGTAGCTCTAGACTGGGAGCTGTCCTGCTTGAGCCTCACGGTGGACGGGTAAAGCCAGGCATTCACTAACCACTCTAAAAATGAAAAAGAATGTCTAGCTGCAGTATGGGCATGTGACAAGGTGTTTTATTGGGTACTCCTATGACATACAACATTACCATCCAGACAGATCATAAACTTTGGGTCGTTGATTAACAACAAGAACGCTGATGTGAAGCCCCTCTCAACACATGCTGCTGAGAATGATACCGCAATGCTGTGGGAGAATATGCACCCGGAAAGCTTCTGCTTGTTTCTGACAGTCACTCCCATCATCACCAGCATTACAACTGCTTTAACAAATGACAAAAAGGCCAAAATGAATCAACGCATGTCAAGGCCTGTGTTCCATTTAAAATGATCCATGTTCAAAAGAACATCACAAATGGTGATTCATTATGTGAATGCAGGCTGGCCTAATTATGTCACCAGTTTCGCAGAAAGCATTAACAGCTGTTTCTCAACTACAGTAAAGATGTTCTCACCACATCCGATGGTTTAGGACTTTATGTTGATTACACAAGTCCTAAGGGATGAACTGATATGATTGCCGTGAGCATCCTGGCAGAGTGGATGATAGCCGGTGTAAGGCAATTCAAAAGAGGCCAAATCTGTAACGACTGTCAAGTGATAAATCCATCACAAATATTAAATAATAAAACAAACACTAACACTGCTTGACAGACTGTGCTCGAAAAGCCGAGACAAAAGGTGGTGTGGATTTTGTGGACAACTTTGTCAAAATGCAGACAGCATTTGAGAAATGACAACAGTTGAGAAAAAGTCAAGGAACATTAAAAAGGCATTAAATAAATAAAGCAGAAATTGTAGGCCATCCCCAAGGAGTGCTTGTTTTCTGAAAATGTGTATCAGAAATCGCCCATTGGAGACGTTTAGTAATGACATTTTTAGTACTATAGGTAAACTGTACACAATACTTTCACTCCTGTAATTCCTGACAACTCTAAATGTATCACAAAATGATACAGCTTGTCAATGGCAGTAACCTTAAAAGGATTTCAATTAAAATGTTTGTACTTCATTTACCCGTAAAAGCTTGATTGTAGGTTCACGTTATTACTTGCTCTAAGGTACTAATAACTACCTGTTAGGGGTAGATAACGTACAGAGGTGATTTGGGCTCATAACAGTTTGATGACTGAAAAAATATTTGAAAAATATGTTCTGACGTTCACAGTGAGCACACTTCATATAGGGTTTTCCTGTCATTTTGACCAGTTTGTATAAGTCATTTTTAAGATTTAATTTAAAAATAGATTAAAAATGGTTAAATAACTGTAAGGGGGTTCTGTTGCTGTTATAATTGCTGCTCTAATAGATAATGTCTTATATACAATCATTCCCACTGAGGCCTGGTCAGTTTGTGGCCTGCAGAATGTTTGCAGAGCTCTGCTAGTGCCTATCTGCGACATACTACATCTGTCTCCTAGTGCACTATCTAGACAGTGATCCACTGTCTGCTGTAAACTTAACAGAGATAGTTTGACTTTTCTTGTCACTAGTGTCCATCCTATCTGAAGGTTCAGCAAGCAGGTTGGGGAGCATTTCATGCTGAAATTTTTTTTTTTTTTTTTTTTTTTTAAATAATGATTTTATTGGTCTGCCCAAATCGTAAACAATAATATACAGTCTACATGTTACGAATGCGATTCATATAAAAATGTAGCTGTCATTTTTGGGGCAGCAACCATAGAATATGCACAAATCTGCATGATGCATCTACACTGTAAAAAATGACCGTGAATTTAACGGTAAAAGACTGTAAAAATGCTACAGTAAAAACCTGTTAAATGGTTAATGGTAAATTCCAAACCTAAAACATTGCTACCATATTTTTTTACGGTAAAATTCCGGCAACCACAGCTGCCGGTTTTTTACCGTAAATTTTACGGATTTTTTTTTTTACAGTGTATGATGCAGGTGCCTAAACCTGAAATGATCATAAACACACCAACGTGCTTAAAAACGTCCCCAAACGGCAACATCTGACTGCAGAATGATTGTGTGAAGAATGTGGAGGTCAGTGTTTGCATAGGATAATGTGCTGCAGGGATGAAGGCCTGTTGGGCCCGAGGGTGGAGTGGAGCTCATGGATCAGGTTTTCTTCTAAGCAGGTTTAGGCTGAAGTCAACGTTGGGACCAGAGATGCTTCTTTAAAATTGCCTTTATGATCACTGCTGGAACAGCCAAGGAACAATCTGCAGTGAACTTGCGTCAGAAGAATATGTAAGTAAAGGACGTATGTTTATAGCAGATATAAAACTAAAAGTAACTGCTGTTTAGTTCATTTAAAATGTGAACTTCTGAAGGTGGCGTATGTATCACACTCGGTGTTAAACCATTATTATTCAGCATTTGTTCTGTGCATAAACTTTTCATGGTTTATATTGAGAAGTTGAACACAAATGTACTGTACTGTTTATTGCATCAATGTATATATTGGTGTTTTTTCAGCACTGATTGTCCTAGATGTTCAAACTCCTTATAAGAAAACTGAAATATTTACTTTAAAAGAGTGCTTACACAGAAATCATTGTGTGTGTTTAACCATAACAGAAATTCATGTAATTAGATACAAGTAAGTTTTGGAGAAAATGTGAATTGCATCTTGCATTGTGTTATTTCACAGCAGTAATCTCCTTCTCATTTAAAATGCATTAAATAAAACTTAATATCACATTTATGTTAATAGCAGAATTTTGCTCGTGCTGTATACTGTTGTATTACATTTTGTGAAATTTGTATTTTCAGTGGGTGTTTACCTAATATATTATTTTGTAGTCCAATTAAACAGGGTCTACATGTCAGTGCTATAAAGTTTTCACAGTTGTTTGTTCAATATTATTTGCAATCTTTCTCCCTTTGCAGGCACATTTAAATTCCAACCATCTTCATTTCTAAAGTTCCAGCTTTGAACAAAATGCTGGTTATCACAGTCCTGCTGGCTGTCTTTGGCCTTGCCAGATGTCAGGAATTACCAAGTAAGAAACTAACTGACTGCAAAGTTCAGTATGTCAGTATATTTTACGTAAATGAAATGGACCTCAAATTTTAAGAGAAAGTACGATTCTGAAGGTAATCAGCATGTTTTCGCAGTGAAATCAATACGGCTATGAAAGAGTATGTTTGCTCCTCTTATTGACCAGTAGAGGGAAGCATGGACCAGTTTAAATCATTCCTGTCCAGTACATCATTATCCATGCAGTAGGGCCAGTTTAAGTCATTCCTGGCCAGTACATCATCATCCGTGCAGTAGGGCTACTTGATGAAGATTGAACTCTGTCTCTATCTGTCAATTTTTTTTTTTTTTTTTTGTGGAAACTGATCTGTCAGTTCAATTCCAAGTCCAGATTCCGTATAAATATCCAAAAGTTTCCATTAGGTTTCCCCACCCCCCTTTTTTTTCCTCTAGTACGTATCACTACAGAATAAATCATGACTTAGACT